CTGAGTTGTGGTTAGGGTTTACTTAGGGACAGAAAGTGGGAACAAGCAAACTAGAGAGGCTACACCTGCCAAGGCTCAAAGGTGCAGTGTGCATCAGGACAGGAGGACATTCTATGATCAGGAAGACAAAACCCATCCGGAAGGTTGTGAGCTGTCTTAATCATGTTTTTATTGTCTGTATTTTGTGAGGCTTTTACATCCAAGAGAGACCTCCCCTCAGGGCCAGCTAGTTCCTAGAGTAGCAAACAAGTTGTCTATGAGCACCTTTCATATGCAGAACCCATATCCCCAGCTATCTTCACCCAGCTCACACTTCGGGCTCGAATTACCCCTGCCCTAAATCACTCTAGGGCTAGGTACTAGATGACAGAAGACCACTCTGATAACCTGCAGTCTACCAAAAGTATTTGAACTAATTCTCAACTGGCCCAAACTTGCCTGATGGGCTGGCCTTGGACTCCGGGCCATCCTCTCTCCTTTGCTTCTTTGCCTTCTCACTCATTTGCTGCTTCCCCATGTGGCTTGTGTGACACAGCAGGCACCCTCCTCTCTGGAGATCCAAGTAGTAAAATTGCTTTCAATAGTGCTCACCTTCCTGGGTGTGATAGCACACACCTATAATCCCAGAGGCTCAGGTGGCTGAGGCAGGAGGATCTCAAGGTCAAAGCCAGCCTCAGCAATTTAGCAAGAACCTAAGCAACTTAGTGAGACCCTGTCTCTAAATAAAATATGCAAAAATCTGGGAATGTGGCTCCGTGATTAAGTGCCCCTGGGTTCAATCCCTGGTACGAAAAAGAAAAGAAAAAAAAAAAATAGTACTGACCTCTCCATGTCACTCATGTACCTCCATAAATTAAATCCAGGTGCAATCAGAGTGTGGGCCTGCAGCGTTACCTTCAGACAATGTGGGCAGGGACCCTTCTTTCTACCTGTGGTAAAGAGGGGACAGTTAGCCTGTTTTCACTTCTTCTTATAGGCATGGCACCCCACTTTTTCTTAGGGGGAAAACCTTGCCCTTCCTAAAACTTGGTTCTTTGATTTTTTTTTCTCCTCAGTGAGCTGCTTTTCTTTTCCTGATGAAAGGAAACAGATTCCTCACAGATCCGCTGCCTGGCAGGGCCACCGAGGTTCATTTACCATGTCAGTTCCCTGTTGCTACTGTAACAAATTACTATGAACTTATGTGCTTACTGGCTGGAAAAAAAAAATGTAGTTGTGGATATCAGAAGCCTGGAATCCATGTTGTTGTAGCCATACATCCTTCCTGAGGCTTGAGGGAAGAATGCGGTTCCTTGCTTTTCCAGGTCACCTGTGCTCCTTGACTCATAGCCCTGTCCTCTCTCTTCAGAGCCAGCAGTGTGTCCTCTCTAAATCTAACTGGCCCTCCCACCACTTTCTTTTTGAGGACGTCTTTTGATGGCATTGGGCCCACCACATGATCCAGGACCATCTTCCCTGCTCACATCCATGTAAAGTAAGACATTCCCAAGTGTCAGGGAAGAGGAGGTGGCCATCTCTGGAGGCCATAGAAATCTGGGTACCACACTTACCTACCAAAGTTACATACCAAACCCATTGCCAAAATCGAGGCCTTGTGTCTCCTAACTGGTTAGAGCCAGAATGGAGCCTCTGGAGCCAGAGGTGCCTGTTGTGAAGCCCCGCACCAGCCCCATCTCCACGTGGGAAAGCTGCCTGGGAAAGGCCGACTCATCTGCCCACACAGCCTGAGGGGTTGAAAGACCGCTCAGCAGACAGCAGCTCCATCCAGCCCCGGGATGACTCATCAAGGAAGTGGGGCGATGCATTTAACTCAGCCTTAGTTGCTTGATTCAAAGGGGATTAAAACCTTTCTTCTAGATGTGTTGGGGGATTTAATGTTGATAGAAAATACTGTGTTATTTTTTTCATAGGAAATAGCCCTAAAGAAATGAGGCAGTCACCTAATTATCTTTATTTGATCACTCTCCATATAACCAACCCTACATCAGTCCTGTATTTCAAAAGCATTCACTGGTCACTTCCAACTGACTCACCACGGTGTCGGTGTCGGGTGATTGAGCCACCACAGCTGCCCCATGAGAAAAATAACATCCTTACTTGACAGAGGAGGAACCTTGAGGTGACAAAGGGGAGGGGAAAGGCGCTGATCATTTGCTCAGAACCAACAGCTTGTGAGCGTCAAAACTCAGATTTGAACCTGTGAGGCTGTGGTCTCCTGCCTGGCCCTTTGTAGTGACTTGCTAGGTAGCCCCAGAAGTCCAGGCACACACAGTGAGATCTGAATAGAAAAGCCAGGAACTGAAATGTCATTAACATGCCAGTTCCCTCCTTAAAAGGGACAGAGCCACTGATGGTTATCCAGCAACTTGTGCCCTCCTTTTTGAAATGGCTTCCTTGGGTCCCTACTCCCAGGGCCAGCTAAGCACCTCCTGCCCCTGGTGGAAGGAAGGAAGCCCTCCTTGCCCACTGTGGCTCTTACGTCTCTCAGGGCATGACACAGAGCAGGCCCCTGGCAGATCTCCCTCCTGTGACCTCATATTGTTGCTGATACTACTCTCCTAGCACCCACAAGTGTTTCTGGGTTTCCATGTGCATGCGCTCAGATCTTATGTGTCTGTAGATTTTTATAATTCTTAAGGTTCCATGTTGTCTGAGTAAGAACATGTCTATTTCTTTTTCCTTTGTGGGATACGGGGTTGGGAAACAGGAAAGAGATATGAGCCTGTAGAAAGCTGTGTAGCTGAAGATACCGAGTCCGTAGGCGCCTGTGTGAACGAACCCACAGAACAGCTGAGACCTTTGCTTGTGCCGGTGGGAGGACTTCAAGACCAGAGGCCTCCAGGGGTTGTCACGCTACAGGATTAAGCTCCAAGCATGCAGATAGTAACATCTTAGGAGAAGAAGGACAGGGACTATTCAAAGGAGAAGTATGTTCCAGAGTGTGTCAACTGAGATGGCAACTATAATGGATGGCTCTGATTTGGCTCAGGTTCTCTTCTACCTGTTTGATGGGCCTGGGAGAGATTCTGAGAAGGAGAGGCACACTACCCAGATAGTGCAGATGCCCTTCCCCTCTCAGGATCCCTAACTTCATTGCACCTGCCGAATCCCTTTGCCTGTAGGTTCACATATTCGCCAGTTTCAAGGACTAGGACATAGCACTGGGAATTGGTGACAGCATCGGAAGTAAGGTTGAACTTTCTAATAATTCTTCTCCATCTAAACCAGAGGTTCTTTACCTGGGAGTCACAGCCCCCAGGTGTTCATGGCTTGGTCTCCCCGGGATCTGTCACTTTGTATTAAATGTGGTGGAGGAGGGCTGCATCTGTAGTTCTAAAGATGTGCTTTCCTAGACAGCAGGTTCTCTTGGGAAGGAAGTGGCCCCTGCGGCTGCAGAACAGATACTGCCAGGCTGGGCAGGATGGGCCTGCCCTCTCCAGAACATTAGTACAAAGCTCTCTAAGCTCCTAATTGCGATAGAGCTTGAAAACCCATTTGGAGGTTCCTGTGTTACCTGTCTAGCCATGTGGTACCTTCTTGACACAGGAGATGCCCTCCCCCACTCCTGGCTGGGTGTGCCACCTCTGGCTCACAGGGCCCCCTGATGCCAACTCCCAACTGTACACTGTGAGAGCAGAGACCTCTCTGCATCACCACTGTTGGTGAAACCAACGAGTAGTTTTTTGTTTTTTGGTTTTTTTTTCAGGGCTGGGGATGTGGCTCAAGCGGTATCGCGCTCGCCTGCCATGCGTGCGGCCTGGGTTCGATCCTCAGCACCACACACAAACAAAGATGTTGTGTCTGCCGAGAACTGAAAAATAAATGTTTTTTGTTTTTTTTTGTCGTTCTGGGATCAAGCCAGGGCCTCACCCATGCCAGGCAAGCGCTCTGCCCCTGAGCCAGATCCCCAGCACTTTTAAGGAGACACACTTGGAAGACTCTGGAAAAGACAGAATCCAGCAGGGCTTGCCAACCATGGTGACCCTCCTTTCCCTATCCACACAGTCAGCTGGAAAATTCATGTGTCCGTCTCCCCTTATCCTGTCAGCCATATGCCAAGGTCATCAAAAGCACCAGTACATTGCTAATAGTGTTACACTATGTGGCCAGAAAACGCAGCATCCAGAATGGGTAAGATTCCTTGAGTGGGCACTAGAACCAGCGTCACCTGTGCCAGCACTCCTCTGTAAGTCCAAGGCAGTGGCAGTGGCAGCCATGTCAACCCCCCGCCCCACCTCTGGAGGAACTGAGAGGGCTGAGAGCCTGGAGGGCTTTCTGGGAGACACAGGGATATCAATAAGGAGAGCTAAAGTTCAGCTGTATTTATTTTAGGGTGGCTTTTAATTTAGTTTAATCAGAATTACTCATAAATTATAGATTAATTACTATCTGCTGTTCAGTGAAATCCTCTCAGCCACAGAGCCTGCGCCGCTCCGCAGTGAATGCCATCCACTGTCATCGTAGGGCACTTTGTCAACATTTAATCAGCAGTACTTATTAATGTGGCATTGATGTGCGGTAGCCATCCCCTCACTATCAATCACGCGTGAGCAGCCAGAGTAGACGTGGACACCATTGCTCTTAGTCACATTAGCCAGCCCCTGGGCTTTTAGACCAAGCATGATGCTCACTTTTCATGAAGCGGACACTCTGTCTCTTCAGTTCTACCTGACTTTTGTCATTGTCGACTTATGCACTTGCAGCCTTTGGAACTGGCTGAGCATCACCTGCTCTCACAGTCCAGGAACCCTGCAAAATTACAGGAGGCTTGTCCATGGTTGGACGTCACAGCACAGGCTCCATGGGCTCATGCTCACGTGGGTCCCACAGTTGTGAATCCTTCAATAGAGTATTGTGTATGGCCCAGAAAAAGCAGGTGATCTTTTGGTTTCCTTTGGCTACCTGGATGTTTCTGGAGATTAATCTATTTTGAAAGCTCGACCAATAGAAATTGACATTGGTGAACTATGTCTCACGGTTTCCTCCCTTTCTCTTTTCAGCCTCTACGGCAGACACATGCAGGCAAACCCAGAACCCCCGAAGAAGAATAATGACAAATCAAAAAAGATCAGCCGGAAACCCCTGGCAGCCAAGAACAAATGAGGAGTTGGCACAAGCTGGGCTCCTGGCCTCTTCTCTTAACTCTTCTGTCTCTCTTGCTCTGTCTCACAAATAACTATAATGCGTGTGTGGCTTTTAAAAAAAAAAAAAACAACAACAACTTTTCACTCTCTGTTTCTAGGGCTCACCACCTTACCTTTTACGTTCTTTTGGTAGGTGGTAGATTTTTGTAAGGTCTTAAACCAATTTCCATTTATTTCCTTAAAATCACCAAAGGCAGGAAGCAAAGCTTTAATTCAACTGCAAATTCTATACTAGGCACAGACTCAAGGTCCTTGAATAGACATCTTGGGGTGGCTTATTATTAAAAGAATAATTAAAATCATGTAACCATTTAATTGTCACGGTTAACACTTTTCACTCTTTCCTTTAATTCACCTCTTTATTTTGTCTCATTCAAAGTCTTCCTTCACCACCAAGCTATTACATTCATTTAACTTTCAAATGATTTTCATAAAATCTTGAATTTGTAATATCACTTGTTGTTTCTCGACTAGAATAAAGAACAATTTGATGTTAGGGTGTACACATTTTTGTTTACCTTTTCTCCCCCTGAACTATCTTATCCCGATTGATTGGTCATAGATGATCCACTGAACTTTCCATGAAAGAAAAGCAAAATGAAATCAGAGTTTCTTCTCCTATCAGTTTGTCAAGGTTTTTTTTTTTTTTTTTTTTCTTTTTTTCTTTGAAGACTGTTGCTAAATTAGGCAGGAGCAGAAAAACAAATCTCTAGGAGTTTCTGCCAAAGGATTTTGGAAAGCAGCATTCTTTCGGTGACTGGTAGACAAGAGCTGTGAAAAGGAGAGAAGAAAAAAACTCAAGTATGTTTTTCATGGCTGCAGAAAATCTGCTCATATCAAAGCATTCTTTTCGGAGACTCTGATGCCAAAGAAGTTGTATAAATGTGCACAATCTACACCACACCCAGTATGGAAACTGGAGTGGCAGAGTCATTAAACAACCAATTGTTTAACATCTGTCATAGGCAGGCTTTCCTTCTTCTCCACAGGATGTAGTAGGTATAGAAATGAAAATCAATCCAAGCAGGAATCTTGTGCTCTCAAAAGGGCGGCCAACTCCTGAATGCCTCTCCACAATAGGTGGCTAATGAATTGTGGGAGAAGGACTCACCCTTCTCAGCTACTCATCTCCTATCATCCCCTTGAATTCCCAGGAGCAAGACCACTAGGACTTATAAAAAGCCAGAATCAAAGCAAAACAAAAAGTCCTGAATTCCTCCAATAGGCACTTTCCATTTCAAGGGACTTAGCAATTCATCTTCTTGCTTCTGGATAACTTCCGGATAGAACTTTTGCTGTGGGAAAGGAAATCCACAGGTGCCATCACCTGCCTGGGAGCAGAGTTGATGTAATTTTTATAGGTGCCATGTTTGCCTCAGCCAAAATATTTTAAATTGATTTTATAGTTTATGAAATTGCAGAAGGAAGAACAATGTCTGTACTGTTGTTGGTTGAAACAACCTGGCTGAAAATTGAATTGGCAACAAAGTATTAGTAAAAACATAATATTTACGGCTTGTAAGTAATTTTATTTTTCAAAAGATGAATGCTCTAGATAGAAATATGGGCAATCCACGTAAGTTCACAGGGAAGAAATATCACAAGAAACATAAAGGAAAATAAAACAAGCAGAGCTTCACTAGTAATTAAAAAATACAAATCAAAGAAAAACAAGCAACGTGCAACAATAAGAAATGTGCAAATATTCTTTAAGTCGGTATGCTAGATAAACATTCTTATACATGGCTATGGTATAGATTTATCTCCAGCACAGTGGTAGTAGCTTGATAACAAGTAGAAAAACTTTAAAATTGTGTACTTGGACCCAGAATTCTTATTTCTAAGAATTTATCCTGAGGAGACTGTCAGATGCACTTGAAGAGCTGTGTTTGAGAATTGTCCTTATAGCATTGTATGTACAATGAAAGTGGGGGGGGGGGGTGAGGCAGATGCCCACCAATTTAAGAATGATTTAATCAATGAAGCAAATCCATGATAGATTTCCATGCAGACAGAAAAATTGTTGAATAATATCTAGGGGCAAAGGGAGATAATTATGTCCTCTGGTTAAGTAGAAAAAAAAAGATTTTAAAAACTAACTACATAAGGATAGCCCCAGCTGTGTAAAAAGAAAATTGTGTATTTAAAATATGTGCACATAAAAATATTAAATGGAAACAGAACACAGTTTTAAGGCTGACCAATTATCTGTACATGGTGGACTAAGACTTTATTTTCTTTTTTATGCATATCCTGTACTTTAAATTTTCTGTAATGAGCATGTGCACTTTTGTAATCTGAAACATTAAATACATATTTTTTCAAAACGAAGTTGGTATATTATGGTATCTTATGTTATTCAGAAAATTAGACGAGATATTTGAATTCAAAGCGTAATATAAAATGTCAAGTTGGCTCTTTTCTTTTGTTACTGAAATGTGTTCCTACATCTTTTATACTCTTTTTTTGGTTACTTGATATCTGGATTAACAAAAAATGCACAGTTTAAAAAGTGGTCTTTTAATAAAGATAATCTGCCCTTCTGAGTATAAGAGTGATATCAGATGTTCTGGCCATGAGTGTCATATAATCATTAAAGTTACCTGTGTTAGCTATCCATCACTCGGGCAAAAGACCTGAGATAATCAACTTAAAAGGAGGAAAGTTTTATTTTGGCTCAGAGTTTTAGATATTTCAGTCTATCATAAGTTAGTCTCTTGCTTTGGGGCCTTTGGGAGCTCCATACATTGTGGTAAGATCATGTATCAGACAGAGGACAACTGTTCACCCCAGGGCAGCCAGGAAACAGACGGAAGGTGTCAGGGTCCCGGATGGTGTCAGGGTCCCGTATCCCCCTTCAAGGACATGACTTCAGTGACCTAAGTTTTTCCCACTGTGCCCCACCTCCTGAAGGTTCCAACAACTTCCAAAAGCACCACAGTCGAGTAACCAACCCTTTAACCCATGGACCTTTGGGGACATTGCAGGACTAAAGTACAACAGTACCCTCTATTCCAATGCTCAGAGTCTGTGTGGAACCTGGGGATATGTTTTATCCCTTGACTAAAGCATCTTTCTCAGGGGTTCATTTTATGTAAAGCCCTGGTCTTGCCCATATGGCTGGATATCTCACTAAGGATGGTGCGCAAATGTGCACATAATCACATTGGGTTTTCACGAGAACCCATGATATAGATAGGGCAGGTTATTTGACAATAAATTTTATAATGTTTCTTAGATCTAGGAGAAAGGTGTTTATTTTCTAGAAGTTATGTGTTCTGTTTATCATGATTCTATTTATTTATTTTTTTCTTTTTCAGCTAAAAGAGGAACAAGTAGAAAAAGTGGAAGGTTGGTGTTAAAGAAAGATGTTCATAGTTAGAAATTTTTCTAGTTATTGTTTACTTTCTGCAACATTGCTCAGAGATTTACCATCTTAATGTGTATTTTGGATCTCTGAAAAGAAGCTGTGGCATCCATGGCTGCTTGACCATAGTCATTTGCTCACCAAGTATTACACTAAGAACCTGCCCAACCCCCATTGGGAAATACCCTGCCTAGCCTAGAGTCACACCAGATTCCCTCTTTGCACTCTTTGGAATAGAAGTTAGTTACTTGGATACCACTTTGCATAGGTGAAACTACATTTTAATAAATTGGAATAGATACAGATAAAAATCATATTAATCCAGAGAGAACTGGGCTGATTGAATCATTGTGTCAATATTAATTGCTAAAACTGTGAAAACTCTTTGTGCTTAATACTTCCTTCCAAAGACCATGTACTTAATGCTTTTTCTTGTATTGCACTGTGAAGCTAAATTTCTAACAAAGCTTCACAATCATAATGTGCTACATCTACCCTGTAAAAAAATCCCCTAGGCTTTACCTTCATGATCGGAGCATAACTGAAAAACTCTCACCATCTTATCCAGCCTTGGTCCAGGTCACCATCACTTCTCACCTGGATTATTGCAGTGTCCTTCAATAGGGAACCTACTTTCACACTTGCCCTTATAGGCCCTGTTCAGTGCAGTGATCCTATAAATGCCTGTAACAGATCAGGACACCTGCTCAGAATCTTCCAGGGGCATCTCCTTATTTCCTTGGGCTCAGAGTAAAAGCCCAGATCACCATGATCTAGAGTCCTATAGGCCATGGTTCTCTTCCTTCACCTCCTATTACTTTTCCACTCGTTTTGTGTCAGCCATCCTGGCCTCAGGCTCTTCCCCATTCAGGCATCTCTCTGTTGGCTAACAGATTTGTTGACTATTTAGTTCTATAATATTCTCCCAAATATAACTCCCTCATCAAGTTCAGATCTTTATTAAAAAGTCACCTCAGTACCCTGGTTAACCTGCTGTAAATTGTAAGGCAGGTGCCCTCATTTCCTAGATTGTAGGCTTCCTAAGAAAAAGAATCAGCAAACTTGAACCCCAGGCCAGATTCTGCCTGTGCCTGTTCTTATAAATAAAGTTTTATTGGTACACAGCCATTCCCATTTACATCTTGTCTGTGGCTGCTTTTGTGCTGTGACAGCACAGCTGACTGGTTGTCACAGCCACTGTATGACCCACAAAACCAAAAATAAAAATAAAATAATAAATTGACCATCTGGACCTTCATAGAAAAACTGCTGTTTATTTTATTAGCTATTAAACCCCATCAACAGAATGGTGCCCGGTCTATAGTGAGGACTTCGTAATGTGTGTCTAATTGAATTAAGAACCATTGCTAGTTGAATAATGTCAAGTTAACCTTAAGGAAGAAAGAAGGGGGAAATGATTAGACAACATTTTAGGGCTTTCTACTTGGTGACTGGGTCCACTTTATCAAAACCAAATTTTCCTTTAGGCAAAAAAAAAATGATCCTGAATATTATTACAGGTGAAAGTTTATTCAACCCTGTAAAGTTCAAAGGAACTTTTACCTAATTTTTGGTTTCCCGTGCAAAGATCCCATCATAATACGCTTGATGACAGCCTTCCTCAAACAACCAACAATTACTTTGGTAAGGCTGGAACCCAAAGGGCCCTGACCCCACTCGCTGGCTATGAGTTTTAGAGGAAGGACCTGTGTCCATGGGAATTAGTTTCAAAAAAACCTGGATATTCCTCACCAAAATTCACTTCTCCAGAGTGATGTTCAAAGGCAACAGGACTGGAAGTTTAAAAGTCTCTGTTCTACCTGGATATTCTGTGACCTCTAATTAGGTATGAATCATTCATATGTAAATCTCTCCATCTATAATATAAAGTCATACTATATATACTATGTTATAGACATAGTATATATGTATGGTATGTGCATCCCTATGTTTTATGCACATACACGTTTATACATATGATTGATTTTCCTTCCCATCAATAACATTTTAGGAGACTCTTGTGTTCTTTAGAAAGACCATGTTTTAATAATACTGCATATAAATATGTTGTGATATTACCTCCTATCTCATGCTGATTTTGTATATAATAGAATTTGGTAATTTTCTATTACTAAAATTTCCCCTTAATCTCTCTCTATTACTAATGGCATTTATTTACTGAGGGCCTTCCTTACAACAGGGACTTTGTTTTCTTTCATCTTATTCTCACTTAAGGATCATTCTCATTTGGTAGGAAATTTGACCTCTGAGAAATTAAGGAACTTCCCCAAGGTGCACAGCTATCAAATAGCAGAACAAGGATGGAAAACAAGTTTCCTTCGACTCTCAAGCAAAGGATATCAGTTCCCCTGCCATCAGTTCTTATATTGGAGTTTCTTCTTTTGTTTGTTTTATTAACACATTTAAGTCAATGCATGCTGAAAGTCAGGTTCATGAATGAAGCATTATCTCATCTCTAGAAGGCTGGACTTTTGATTTCTAGTGTCTCTGTTCCCCATGCTTGGTCAGGTGACAGCATCTCCCTGTTGGGTAAAAGGTAACCAAAGCAGATAAGAACAAATTGCTGTTTTTCAATCTCATCCCCAAATGCAGCACTTCCACGATATCCCATTAAGGGAATATTTTGTTCTAAAAGGGATTTCGCCCACCCAAAGAGCAGTGCCTCCTGAAACAGGTGGAAAGTAGCCTTGGAGGCTGGCGACATAGCTCAGTTGGTAGAGTGCTTGCCTTGCATGCACAAAGCCCTGGGTTCAATCCCAGCACACACACACAAAAAAAAAAAAATTGGAAAGAAAGTGGCTTTGGGTTCCCTTTTCCAGCAATTTGCACCTGGCATGATCAGAACACCTGGGACTTTGATTTTAGTGGGCTCAGAGTTGGAGGAGAGACCCCACCTTATCCATCCTGGCATCCTCATAACAAGTACAGTGCCTAAACATAGTAGATAGCCAGATAATACTGCATGAATGAATGCTCCTTCCACTAGCTATTTCTAATATCTTATTGCCATTTACCCTAAGCATTTACACCCATTTCAGAAATGTAGAGGCCACATCATACAATGGGATGTTTGGAGACTTTCCAACAAGTCAGGAAATACATCTAATAGGTTTGCAGATGCAAGAATTGGGAGTGAATTAAGGACTCAGGGTCAGGTAAGAATGAAGTGTTATCAGAAAAGACCTTGAATTAGAGTCGCTCATCACCAGCCACTTAGAAAACATGCCAGTTCTGCTCTGAGAATGGAGCAAGCCATCAGTTACCTGGCTGAGAATACTTGTTCCCTCAGCCTGAAAATGTGCCCACCCACCACACCCACCCCGGAGGGCATCTGACTTTCCAAGATCCCAAGACCAGTCCTGTCTCTTCTTGAAGCAGCTCCTGCTCAGCACACTGAAAAGGGTGTTTTCTGTGCAAAAGTGTCCTCTGCAAAACCATCTTGTTGCTGTCCCAGGGGGAAGCTGTACCAGTCACTAGAAGCTGGAAGTAGGGAAGCAGCACAATCCATTCATAATTTCTCCAGAGTACCACCCAAAATATGTCTGCCACACCAGGCGACAGTCCCGCTGCTTGTGTGGGCTGCTTGCTATATTTTGATTTTAACAAAGAGCCACTTTAATTATCATGCACAACGCAGCAGCGAGACCAAGGTTTTCCTTAAGGAAGGCTCTGCCTGGAGACTGGGTCTTAGATTCAAGATTGTCTAGCCACTCGGCAGCTCCGGTGTGGTGTGGTTTTATTGGCAGTGTTGGTTGGGATCAGTAATGGGAGGGATTGCAGTGGAAGGCATTAAAGATGACACTGGATCTAAAAAGATCAGTCTGCAAGTTCATTGTTGAAATGACAGGTGTGTGGGGGCTGCACAGATGAAGAGGCCGGGGTCCGCTGACTGGAAGAAGCTGCCAAGGGAGGCATCCTTGTTCAAACCGGGTACCAGCTTTGG